ATCAAAAAATATATATATATAAATATCTTCTAAAACATTCATATCTTTCATAGACAACTCCAAGTTCATGAAAGTGAACTATGAAATTTCTTTTCATTGTGTTTCTTGAAACTTTTGAATTGTTTCACAGAGTATGGTTCTGAAGGAAGAATGTCTACGAAATGTGATGGTTATAGCTACGGATTAATGTTGTTAGAGATGTTTACGAAAAAGAAGCCGACGAATGACATGTTCGTTGGAGAACTGAGTTTGAGGCAATGGGTGAGCCATCACTTCCGAACAAGGCAATGGAAGTTGTGGATAGTTTACCTGTTGGGGACACCATATGGGGGATAACCAGTGAGTGACCTACAGAATTGTCTTCTGGCCATCATGGAATTAGGGATGCAGTGTTCTTCAGGATTAACGGAGGAGAGAAGTGACATGAAAGATGTGGTGATCAAGCTCAACAAGATCAAATCACAACTCATTTGCTACCCACGCACATGATATGATCATGTGTGTCCATCTCGAATAATGCTAGTGTTTGGCTTTATTGCTGTAATTTCATAAATAGGTTAGAAACTGTGTGTATGCATCTAAATAGTGCAAGTCTCTGCATATTGTTATCAATGAAGTCAGTTTATTTATTGAAATTCATCCACTCAGGAAAGAAAAAAAGTCAGTCTGTTTTGTGTTCTTGCACCTCCTCTAGCCTACACATACTAGTTTGGATCTCTGTGAAAACCCATATGTTTTTTGTTTTTGTTTTTGTTTTTTTTTTCTTTTTTCCTTCAAATGTAGTGAAGAACATTGATACTCCCTTCTAAGCAACAATCTCTCCATAATGAAGAATAGGCGTCTCTGTTTATCAGAGCTTCTTGCTCCTCTCACTGTAGAGGTCCTCCGTCCATCATAGATTTGGAGTCCGCCATGGTGGTGCGTTCTTGTTTTGGGATGAGTCTCCTCTCCTCTCTAGTCCGACGACCCTGTGGATTCTCTCCCTCTATGGGCTGTGGCTTGTCAATTTGGGTTGGAAAATTTGCTAATTAATTTCTGTGGCTTTTTTCCTTTTGATCCGGGTATTGCTGCGCTGTCCTTGTTTTCTCTTATGGTGTTCACTTTTTTTTTTTTCTGTACTTGTTTGCTCTAAGTTCGGGTAAATTGCTCAAGAATTTCCAAGTTTGTAGTTGGGTTTGTGTACATGAAATTGCTATTCCAGCCCGGTTGCCGGAAAATTCTCCATTGTTGCCGTCGAGTTTGGGTTTCATCATGACAGGGTACGTGTGATGTCGCGTTGTCAAGATTTTAGTGGAAGCAGCTAGATTGATGTTAGAGTGCTTTTAAAAGCAAAACGTTTTCAACTTCTAATGATAAAAGAATTGAATTAATGCATTTTACATTCTTTCTTTTTTTAATTTTTGTTTTTTTAAAATTTTTTGATTAAAAAATTATTTATAAAAAGAGAAATCTGAACGGTCGACCTGGCATGACAGCGCAAGTGACTTATAGAATATAAATTATCTCAATCAAACAATTCAAAATATTAACAAAATTTTTGGAATAATGTCCTATTGTGATTGTGTTTTTTGGCATGGTTTCTTAAACCTCTTCTACAATTTTCACCCAATTTTTTTTTGAAAAGTGTCCCATTGTGATTGTGTTTTTTGGAATGATTTCGTAAACCTCTTCTACAATTTTCACCCAAAATTTTTAGTCTTTTATCTCGTACAAGTTTAAACACCTCTACATTTGCCCTGAAGAGATAAGAAAAGGGAAAATTACATATAAATGGAGTTAAAGTTCCATATTTACTTAGAGACTGAGTCAAAGTTTCATATTTCTCTAAAATGGATTGCTGAGGTGGCACATGATTTTTTACTGTTTAGAAAATTGTGGTGCCTAAAATGCCCTTCCCTAACAGAAAAGTAGTACCTTCAGTTCAAAAAAGTAGTACCTTCGGAGAAAAAGTAGTACCTTCGCGGGTGTTTAAAAAACATGGTACCTGGACACCAAAAAGTAGTACCTTCAGTTCAAAAAAGTAGTACCTTCGAAGAAAAAGTAGTACCTTCGCGAAAGGGTATTTTAGGCACCACAATTTCTAAACAGTAAAAAACCATGTGCCACCTCAGCAATCCATTTTAGAGAAATATAGAACTTTGACTCAGCCTCTAAGTAAATATGGAACTTTGACTCCATTTATATGTAATTTTCCCATAAGAAAAAGACTTTTTAACTCCTCACTCCCCTCCCAAAAAATTAGTATAACATTTATGGGTCTACCTAGTAGTTTGGATTTGCAAGATTTAGGCTGCAACTCGGGCAAGTTAGATGGATTTTTTGAGGTATAACTTGAGCCAAAACGATTTCAGAAATTGTCAATAGAGTGGGTTGATATTTCTTTGAGTGGGTTAATATTAGTAATAAATTATTATTTTTTTGGACTGGGTTAAAATTAGGTGTAGCAAAAAAAAAATTTGAGTGGGCTTGAACGCACCCAGGCCACCCTTGGATCCACCAGTGATTTGAGCCCAACCCATCATATGAAACGATAAACACAAGCCCAACCCTAATCATATCTTCAACCCTAACTACTCAACTCGAGCCTAACCCCTCCTTGTACTTTTAAATTCCAGCTTCCAACTTGGGCTTAGATTTCTGGTTAAAAATTTGGGTTAATTCGGATTACTCATATAATTAATCTTCACACTGAAAATTTAATATAATCTTAAATTAGTTTTAGATTAAATTACTATTAAACAAAAAAAAAAAATTAAAAATTTTGTGTAAATTTTTAATAAATTACAAACAAATTCTTAAAAAATTAATTTTCATAATTATTAACATACAATATTATATATGATGTAATTAAAATTTAAAATATATATGAAAATAATATTAGAATTTAGATTCGAGTTGGTTCGGGTTGATAGCATCTCAACCCAAGTTCAACACTAATTAAATTTAGGTTGAAAATTTTCAATCCAAACCCTACCTTAATTTTGAAAATGATTACCCAAACTTGTGAAAAATCAAGCTGGGTTCAAGTTGCCTAACCCAAATTGCACCCCTAGCAATATTATAGTAACTACTTCTCTCTTCTTTGATGATGGTTGTTCCCTCTCACCCTGCACTGTCATATTATCTTCTATGCTATATGAGAAAGTGTGAATATTTCATCTTATCTAATAATATATCAATGAAGCATTTGGGAATAGTATGTACATAAAACAATTTATTACCAAATTCAAGGGCTCATCAACTCATTTACTAGTCTTTTCGCATTTGAAAAAGAGATTATACCATTAGATTGTAAATTCTTTATTTTGCAATTGAATATTTCTATGTACCTTCTTTTTTTCTTTTTCTTTTTTCTTTTTCTATGTACATTCTTGCTAAGAAATAAAATATTGGAAATAAAATTGTAAATGATCGAGTGATATGGGACATATATGCAAGGTTGGTTCAAGGGAACTTTTAAAAAAATATTAACGGTTAGAGATCTAAGGATGATTTATTTGTGCGTATGATGAAAATGATCTGATTATGATTTGAGATCAAGTGGTTAATTCGAGTGCTTCAGTATCATTAAGTTCTTGAATTGTTATAGTCAATTGTAAACATTGTTTTATTTTTATTTTTTGGTTTTTAGGTGAAGGTGATTTTTCTTAAAATTTATCTACTGACATTTTTATCAAAAGAGTAAATCTTAGCTTTGGCATATTGTTTTAATCCCCAAAATTTTATAAATAATAAATTAAGGAATTATTTTCGGCATTCCCCAACCATGTTTGTAAGAATACTAACATCTTAAATAATAATAATAATAATATCATCAATCCATAGAGCCCTTTTTGCAGGAGAACATGTGAACTTTAAGGAAATGTTTACATAATTTTAGAAATGCAGATGAAATTGTAGATATCATTTTTCAAAGTTTTACGAACTCTTTCTAACAATTTGGTAATTAATTATATTTTCTATAGGAACCAATCTAGTGTGGGTTAGACAATATATCACAACTAATGAATTTTTTGGTTTCTTAAGACAAAGAAGACACAGGATTAATTAATGAGGATCAATATTTCTATATTTTTTTTTGTAATTGCAAATGTGGTGTTATACTTATAATTGTAAGTGGAGTAAGGAAATTTGAAAAGTATATGATTTATCATCTGCGGTTGATGGCAGATTGTTGTTGCGTGAGTGAGAAAATTGGTTGATGGCAGATTGTTGTTGCGTGAGTGAGAAAATTGATTGAGAAAATGAAGGTTGTTGTTGATAAACTATCAGCAGTATGCATTTTTTTTTTAAAGTTAAATTTTCAATTTATACATATATATATATATATATATATGAACAGAACTACAAGCACAAGAGGCAGACTGGCCTAACTCATGCAGAGAGAGCTTGTGGATAGAACTCATGCATAACGGAAGCCATGACTCATGCAGAAGTGATGGTGTATTGAAAAGAACTTCCAAAATAATTTTGCTCATAACGTTTGTATCTTGTAAAAACGTCTCTCTCCCTCTTACCCATTTGTTTGAATTGCCAAATAATCTCTCTCAATTTTTAGTCTTGTGATTAATGGCTCTCTCATGTTCTGTTAAATATGAAGTGGTTGAATAGTGTGTCCAAGTCAAGGTTTGTGTTTGTTGAATTTTCAAATTGCATGTACATTTTTCAACGCCAAGTGGCTTCTCCTAATACATGACATTTGCTGAGGTAAAAGATTTTCTAAATAAAAAGAAAAGTGAAAAAGAGTAATAATAATAATAATAAGCACAAAGAGAAAGTAGATAAAAGTAGATAAAGAGAAAGTGGTTGACATTTGCTCATGTCCAAGTCAAGGTAGTGCTAAATCCACTTCAATTCTTGTTTAGCTTCCATGGCTACAAATTAACAAGGAGGAATTGTGTCAAAGTGGCTGACAAATTGAGAATAGGCCATTGGAGTTGGTTGATGTGTGATGGTCCATAAGGTACATGCATGACGTCCTTCCTGTGTGACAATGAACTTTAAACCATATGAAGAGGAAGCAACCACTTGGAACCCTCTATAAAACCAAGGCAGATGAAGGGTTTAACATCTACATCTCTTAGTTTCTTTGAAAACTCTGCCCGGTTGGTAGTGTTCGACCCTGGACCAGTGCACATGTATTCTCCAAAGAAAACCCTGCAAAAACTTCATCTCCGTAATATTACCAAAAAAATATACATACACACATACATATATATATATATATATGACAATGCATTACCAAAAGTTTATAAATAATATATATGAGATATGTGTATGTAATTGAGAACTAGATAAGTCCGTCCCTTCTGAAAGGGAAGAATGAGATTAGGGAGTAGTAGATAAAGAAATTTACGTTAACATTTTACTTTTCTCTTAGACATAATATTCACTAATACGGAAGACCGTAAAGGGTCCTATTTTTTTAAAAAATAATTGAGAATCCGAGTCTTAGGTGAGTGAGGACTTACGTCATGATGATGTTATTAATATTTCTAACATCACGATGATATCACCTATCAATCTTCTTGCATTACTCATTATCTTAAGTTTATTATGGAAGTTTCTAGTATTTTTGAAAAATAACTATATCATTTTTTTATATTAAAAAAGCAAGTTTAGTACATTTTCCTCTAGAATAATGATATCAAGAAAGTTTTATTGTGACAAGAGCCCGTACTTTCTATATTTAATCGCTGAACTGATATATGTATAAAATAATTCATTTGGCTTTTCATATATCTTAAAAATTGTCTTAATCCGTGACTAAATATAGAGAGCTTGTGATTCTTGCTGACACCAATATTCTTCCCTCAATATATATATATATATGTTTGTGTGTGCGCGCGTGCGTGCATCTTACTTGTCTTTCTGAGGATTATAATGATCTGACCATCCTTGAGGGGTAACCACATTGCTCATGTGAGTGTAAGCGTATACTACTCTAGAGAAAGTTCTCCAGGCTCGGCCTAAGAAAATGTTGCTCCCAGAACCACTTATATTGCAATGAACAAACGAGTAGCCAGTACTGTCAGAGCTACTTTCCCTTGCTTGTGCCGTCACTATCGCAATATTTTCACCTGGCAAAACATGTAATTCCGTGTTCTGCACCAAAAACATCCATGCACATCAATTATTGTTCAAGAGAATATAAATGCTCAATTTGTAAAAAATGTAAGGTTTAATCTAATGACTGTTTATACGTAAGTCACATAGATCTAGAGAGAGATCGATTTGATACCAAATATAGAGATCTGCCATTGCCAAAGATGAAATCAACGGTGCCTTCAATGTAGCAGTTTTGAAAGAAATGTTTGCCTCTGTCATCACAGATGGTGTCTTGAAATCCATGGACTTTGCAATTATAGAATGCTGCTTTGTCGCCAGAGATCCTTAGTGAAACTGCCTGCGCTCCCTCCCTTTTGCCATCCGGCCTTGGTGCCGAATTCTAAAACAACAAACCATGAAAATTTTAATACACACACATACAAGGGATAATTATCCAAAATTTACAGTTTTGTTGTTTATAAATAAATAAATAAAACTAATTATATCCTCCCTAATAACTTTAGATTTTAGAGAAACCAGTGATCAAGATGTTAAGCTTCGTCTTAAATTCAAATGTTAAGCTTGGTCTTAAATTCAAATGTTAAGCTTGGTCTTAAATTCAAATTTCACTCTCACCTTAATCTTAAAAGGGTTCGTTAGAGTCACTTTTGTAAAGTTGTAGACCTTTAGCTTTTGTTGTGTTATCTAGCAGCTTTAATTGCAAAAGTGTAGGGTTAATCTAGTCCCTTATAGTGATTTCTTTCTTCATTTTAATCTAATACTGAATTCAGTAAACTACCCAAAAAGGAGGGGGAGGGGGGAGGAAGCATGATATAGGCAAACACAAATTTTCTTAAACATAAACAGTGATTTATATGTAACTCACCACAATTATAAGATTAAGTGCGATGAAGTAGTCGGATTCTACAATTAAGGTGGCGCTATCAACAGTTCCACACTCCTTTGCTGTATCATCATAAACCAACGTTGGCATATCATTTGGTGAACCATAAAACGTGACAAATGGCTTGTTTCGATCAATCCTAATTTTCTCAGTATAGTTTCCGCCTCCAATCCACACGATGATGCGACGAGTATTCTTGTCCGGAATACTTTTAACAGCATCAGTCACTGTCTTAAAGTCACCCTTTCCATCTTTCCTAACCTTGATCACTTTGGCATGGGACTCCGCGGTCATAAGGGCAGGGTCCAGAGTGTGCTTTCGGGCCTTGTAGGGCTTGACACTATTTTGGTACCAACTCTTCACTTGAGACTTATCTGCCGGGATAAGTACCGTGTCATCGGAGATGACAATGGTGATGGTCAGAAGAATGGTTACCAAAACAGCTTCAATGGTTATGGACATTGTCATTTTTCCCGCCAGTGATGAGTTTCTGTTTTTCTTTTTAGTATGAATTGATTCGTGAATGGATGGTCTATTTATATGAGCAGTCTGGAGTGTCCATCCACCATTTAGGGGTTCTTTTTGTAGTCACTGTTATGTTGTCATTTAATACACCCTCCATGAAGGAAAAAACAACGAAAATGCCATTCTCCTAGCCTAAAGAGAGTGAGTCCTGCGTGACTCTAGTTAGGGGCAGTTGGGGACAATGATTATGCGTTCAGTAGTTCTTGTTAGAGTTTGTTCATGAACAATAATACAGCCCACTTTGTCCAACTGTGCATGTCTAAACTAAGACAAACAAAAGAATGTTAGCACAAGGATACTGAATTGAACTTGGTGGACAACTCATTATAAATAGCTTCCTTACCCAAATTTACATATAGTCTACAAAGAGTACTGTTTTAACCGTGCATATGCAAAACTCGTTACAAATAGTACTGTTTAACTGTGCATAATCACAACTCATTACAAAATGTGTTCGGTGAGTAACCATAGTGTACTAGAGTGATACAGTTATTCATCTTGTCTGAAGGATGGAAATTTGGAAGCTTAATTAAAGAAAGGAAAATGGTGGGGGGTGACGTTTATCTCTAATCATATATTGAGTAGTGAGGATGCAATAAGTGGCATGGGCTGGTTATAGCTCGCTGGCATGGGGTCGGGTCAAACAATTGAAGTGTGGCCCATGCAAAAGCCCCACGGAATGGGCCGAGCTTGGAGGATCCACTAAAGAAGATCAAGTCCATTGGAAAGTCAGGTCCAAGAGGAAGAAAACCCTTGAATAGGAGCCCTATGTAATCAGTTAGTTAGAGTATCTGTAATGGACTATAAATAGGTCATTACGGAGGGAGTGAAAAGGGAATGGAAGTGGAAGAATTCTAGAGAGAGAAAGGAGAATGAATTTCTTGCATCTTCAATTGGCGCCGTCTGTGGGAACAACGAAGAAGATCGATTCGAGCTTGATCAGTATCATGTTAGTTCAATCAAGTTTGTGAGCACACAGTTTGATTCCTGGAAGTCGAATCCAGATCAGTGAGATTGTAGTTTCTTCAGAAAGAGTTCTTGCTTATTGTCAATTTTGAGGCATTTGCTTCGGAATGACACAACTGTGATTTGTTCAATTGCAGTCAGGTCCGGTGAGTTCAAAGTTAGAAAAGCTCAGATCTAGCAAACGGTAACCACGATTCGGTGAAGTTGAGCCAGATCTAACGGAATTTACATCGGTGACGCTCTGATCTGTTTCGGAGTTCGTAATTCATGCCTTTGCTTCGATTCGGAATCATGATAGGGGGTGAGAACTCCAATACGGTAGAGAACGTCCAGCAGGTGAAACTTGATGAGTTGATGAGCATGATCGAAGCTCTCCGGAGAGAAAATGCGGATCTCAGGACTGAAATGCAGCTTCAAGAAGCTCCAGTAATTCTGCGACTGCTTCCGGTAGGAGAAGAAGGTGCACGTACCGATGCGGCACATCAAGGTGAGGAGGTCGGAAATAATCTGATAGATCCTCACCACGAGGAAATCCGGCCAAACGGTTTGCCGCCAAATCTTCGTCGTATTGATGATCGTGAATGATCGACTCACGTGGATCTACGGCGTGAGCAGATCCGATGAAATGAAGCAATGACTTTTGATCCACATCAAGAAACGCTCAGCTGAGGTGAATCAATAGAGTTGGATCGTCACAAAGCTATGCCTCCATGGCGTAGAGATTTTGTTAAGGACAGATCATTCGATCCGACTTATCGGCCTTCCATGGCAACGTTCGACTATCATGGCTCAAAGAGAAGATCTGTAGACCAGAGAGCAACCGCGGGGTTCCAGAGGGAAAATGAAGCACTCCGTTCAGTAGCTTGAACGGTTGATTCACCGTTCACCAATGAGATTCTGAATACTCCGAGTCCGAGGAAATTTTCCATGCCCGTTTTCATTCTGTTCGACGGAACGACCAATCCGATCGATCATGTGTATCACATCCAGTTGAAAATGGCTCTGAACACTGAGAATGACTCTTTGATGTCAAGTGCTTTCCTACGAGTCTGGCTGGACCAGCTCTCAATTGGTTCAAGAACCTGCCGAAGGGCTCAGTGGATAGTTTCCGAAGCTTGTGTGATCGGTTCATAAGCCAATATTATGGAAATAAGCGTCCAGCGAAGGACATTTTGAGCCTCTTCACAATGAAGCAGCATAACAATGAGCGTCTCCAAGCTTTCCTAACCAGGTTTAACCTTACCAAGAGTATGGTGATTGAATGTCACCCTTCAACAACAGTCCAAGCGTTTATACTGTCCATGACTCGTGGCACTCCATTCCACACAAGCTTGGTGGTGAACACGCCGAAGACTATGGATGAACTTAATGAAAGAGCCGATGAATTTGTGCGCTTGGAAGAAGAAGAACCAGCAAACGCTCGGAAGACATCCGTCATATCCACGGAAGAAAAGACCAAAGCAAAGATCAGACAAAAGTAGGTTCAGCCACAGCGTTCCTCGTGGAAATCTGAGAAGAGGCCCAGAGAGGAAGAGCTGGTTACTCCATTGAAAGTTACCTTAGCAAGACTGTACCAAGAAAATAAAGATAAGTTCCGACCTCCTTTACCAATCAGACAACCCCTCGAACAAAGGGATCAGTCTAAGCACTGTGCATTTCATTCTGATTTTGGCCATCAGACTAACAAATGCAGGAACCTAAGGAGACAGGTAGAGATGCTGATAGCCAGAGGGGAGTTCGCAAGTTATATTCAAGGCCCGGTAGTGGAACAGAACTGACTAATGGAGCACGTGAAGATGAATCAGAAGTTGAATTCTCACAACACGCAACCAGTCCGAATAATCAATGCAATTCACGGTCGGCCTAAGCCTGCTGAAGAGTCAGATGAACTGCTTCGAACACGCCTTAGCTAGGCACAGATGAAGAGAAGGATAGGCAGTGTAAACACTCTGCACCAACAGAGCGCATCAACGCAAATAAAGTTTGACGAAACAGATCTATTGCATGTTCAGATCCCTCATGAGGACCCGTTGGTCGTAAGTTTGACAGTGGCCAAATGCTTGGTGCGCAGAGTTCTGATTGATCCGGGAAGTAGTGCGAACATCATGCCAAGGGATACATTTGATCGGCTCAAGATCAAGCAGGATCGGCTAAAATCCACTGGGAATCCTCTCCTAGGGTTTGATGGAAAACGAGTGGAGCCCATCGGTACGGTGGAGGTAGGGGTACATGCTACCGAGAGGGTTCTGATGGAAACCTTTGTGGTTGTTGAAATTCATCCCTCTTACAATCTTCTGATGGGCAGAGGGTGGATCCACAGAGTTCAAGGTGTTCCTTCCACTCTGCATCAAGTAATGAGATGCCTGGGGCTAGATGGGACCAAAGTGATTGACATTCATAGGGACCAGGTTGCAGCTAAAGAATGTTATTTAGTAACGCTGAAGCGTGCCGGAAAAGGGAAAGCTCCTATTCGTTCAGCAAGTCCGAGATAGCAATTACAGGAGCCTCCCTCCAAGCAGAATGGGGAGGAAAAGCTGGTGGACTTGACTGAAGAACCCCTGGTTGATGTGCAGATCGATTAGTTCCGACCGGAACGAACAACCAGAGTGGGGGAACGACTCGCTTAGGAGGAGAAGCAGGAGTTAGTTAATTTTTTATCTCAAAACACAGATGTATTTGCATGGAGTCACCTAGACATGCCAGGGATTGATCCTTCTATATCATGTCACTCCTTGAATGTTAATCCCAATGCAAAACCTGTAAAACAGAAACAGCGATCGTTTGCTCCCGAGCGCAACCGGATCATTGCCGAGGAGGTTGACAGGCTGCTTGATGCAGGATTTATAAGAGAAGTATACTACCCTGACTGGTTATCAAATGTTGTCGTTGTGTAGAAGAAGAATGGGAAATGGCAAGTGTGCATTGACTTCACCAATTTAAACAAAGCCTGTCTGAAAGATAGCTTCCCGCTACCCAAGATTGATCAAATGGTGGATGCAACTACTAGATATGAACGTTTGACCTTTTTGGATGCTTATTCAGGTTATAATCAGATCCCCATGGACCTTGCTAATGAAGAAAAAACTTCTTTCGTTACCGAACGCGGGACGTATTGCAACAAAGTCATGCCATTCGGGCTAAAGAACGCTGGAGCAACTTACCAAAGACTTATTAGCAAAATTTTTAAGGGACAAATAGGGAAGACCGTGGAAGCCTACATTGATGACATGGTGGTAAAAAAGTAAGAAGAAAGTTGACCATGTGAAACATCTAGGAGACGTATTTAGTGTGTTGAGGCAATATGGAATGAAGCTCAATCTAACCAAGTGCTCATTCGGTGTAAGTTCTGGCCAATTCCTGAGGCACGTAGTTAATCATAGAGGCATCGAGGCAAGCCCTGCCCAAGCAGAAGCTCTGACTAAGAATGCTGAGCCGACGACAGTTAAAGAAGTGCAAACACTTATGGGACGAATCGCTGCACTGAGCCGGTTCATTTCCAAATTGTCAGATCGCTGCAAACCATTTTTTGACACAACACGAAGCCATGGCAGGCAAGTCTGGGGGGATGAACAACACTTAGCGTTAACTGCTCTGAAAAAGTATATGCAGAATCTTCCGGTCCTGTCAGCTCTAGAGCCAGGCGAAAAGCTATTTTTATATCTCGGAGTATCCAGCATCGCGACAAGTGGTGTTTTGATTCGCTATGCAGAAGGGAAACAATATCCAGTGTTCTACGTTAGCAAGACAATGACCGAGGCCGAAAGGCGTTATTCAAAGGCAGAGCGGGTGATACTCTCGCTAGTGCATGCGAAAAGAAAGCTCATGCATTATTTTGAATCCCATCCTATCATCGTTCTAACCACTTTCCCTATCAGAATAATCCTGCACAAACCAGACCTTTCAAGAAGGATGACGGAGTGGGCCATCGAGTTAAGCTCATTTGATATCACATACGAACCCAGAACAGCAGTCAAAGGGCAAGC